CTGTAATTGAAAAACATAACTATCTAATAAAACGTTCCCCGGCCAAAGAGGTCACCTTAATACCGGAAAAAAAAAAATAACACATATTACACAATATACACAATAAATACATAACAAATACATATAAATAATTACTATAATATGCATTACACACAGTATTACAATTTCTCTATAGCGATAGACAATAAAATAAACACAGCTACTACATCACTTGTCCACGGACCGCAAGTTTGACACCAGTTGTTATATCGATCACAATTTCTACATTTTCCTTCTTTTAAAATAAAATTTATCAAGTACTATTAGATATACGTTAGTATTTATATTTTTGGTTATTCCATATACTTTATGTCACGTGAGTGACGGTAAGAGTGACGATCAAAAGTCAAATTAAACTATGCAAAACAATACGTATTAAAGTAAAATTAAACTTAGCTATAGCGTCATTATTGTGATGACAATAACATGATGTAATTGTATAGTGTGTAAATATAAATAAGAAATGTAAGATAGAAGAAGTCAGTTTAGTTTAGAATCTCACGCATGAAAAGCATAACCTGAATAAAGAGAGGAATACTTAATTTGATAATTATCATATTTGTCGTTATAAAATAAAGATAATATACAAGCGAGTGTTCGATAATCCCATATTTAGTTAGATTTCGGTGCTAAACTGCTAGTATCGCTTAACCCCGTGACACTTTATATTCTTTATTTTCTAATTGTGTATAAATTTTAAACTTATATGAAACGTTTAAATAGATAAAAAATAAATTCTATCAATTATAATTGATAAAAGATTTTAACTTACTTTTAAAAATCTAGTAAATTCCGAGAGCTAAGTAATGTTTTAAGATTAACCCACATGCTAATGTACTGTACGTGACTGTTTATTATTTAAATTATTCTTCTACCTTCTAACTATATTGCTGAAAATTCCTAATTTAAACCATCTTTACTAGTAATTTTAATATTATCTAATCTACCAAAAGGAATCAATTCGGTAACATCCTCATATTCAGTGGCTTTAAGTTGAAATTCTTTAATACAATCATCAATTGTTTTTTGAGGGTCACAGGTTTGACACCATGCTGGAGAAGTGTTGTATTTGTTACAATTTCTACAGATTCCATTATGACAAAGTTTTTCAGCATTAAATTCACCAAGTACTATCAATATTCGTTAGTGGTTGTATTTTTAGTTACACATTTTATATTTTTTTATTCCCTAATTGTGTATAGTCTTTAAACTTAAATGAACCGTTTCAATAGATAAAATAGGTAAGTATATTCTGCTAATTAATATATATCATTAAAAAAATCTAACAAATTTTGAGAACTAGGTAGTATTTTAAGAATAACTCTGCATGATGGTGTACGTGACTGTTTATTATCTTATACCTTCTAGCCATATTGCCGAGAATTCTGAACTCAACCCATCTTAATTAATGTTATCTAATCTGTCAAAAGGAATCCATTCAACCACATCCTCATATTTAGTGACTTTAAGCTGAAATTCTTTGATGCAATTATCAATTTTTTCACTTCTACTCTTCCACTCTTGAGCAGTTTTTTGAGGGTCACATGTTTGACACCATGTTGGCGAAGTGTTATATCTGTTGAAATTTCTGCATGTTCCATTCCAATAATCTCTTTTAAATTGAAATTCATCAAATACAATCATATATTTATTATTAGTAGTATTTTGAGGTATTCCATATATTTTATATTCCTTATATTTTATTTGCATATAGTCTTTAAACTTATAAAATGCGTTAAATGGATAAATAGGAATTATAAACATATTCTACCGATTATTAAAATTAACTATAAATTATATACTGTAATAATAAATGAAAATTTAACACTTTTTTAAAAAAAATTTATCAATTCTGAGAGCTAGGAAAAATTTTAAGATTAACTCCATATGATAGAATACGATATGAAATTTTTCGTATGCCATCTAACCATGTTGCTAAAAATATTGGATTCAAACCATCTTTACCAATTATTTGGATGCTATTTAATCTATCAAAAGAAATCCATTCGATCACATTATCATATTCTGTAGCTTTAAGTTGAATGTATTTGATAAAGTATCAATATTCTTATTTCCACTCGTCCATCCCTGAGCTGTTTTTTGAGGGTCACACGTTTGACACCAGGCTGGCGAAGTGTTGAATCGGTTGCAATCTTCACAACTTCCATATTTATAACGTCGTTTAGAATGAAATTCATCAAATACTGTCATATATTTATTAGTAGTTGTATTTTGAGTTATTTCACATATTTTATATTTCTTGTTCTCTAATTGTATATAATCTTTGAACTTATAAACCGGTTTAAAAAATAAAGTATATATATTCTATTATCAAAATATGTACAAAAAAAATATATAGTTATCATCTATTTAATTCTTCGGATCTTTGTTTTTGGTTCTTCTAGCCTTTCTAAAATTATTGCTTTAAGAAACAAAACCAAAAATCGAACATCAACTTTAAGTACATCGTCAGGTATATTTTTGTCACTTAAATGGAGAATAATAGGTGTATGGACAGCACCTATTTCATTGTCTGTTGTCACTACGGTGAAAAACCACTTTTCACCGGTAGTGACAACACCATGTACATAATCAACGTCTCTATGTTTGCATTTTCCATTTTCCTATATAATAAAACATGTTATTATAAAATGCACATTTTTCCCATCACTAGCTAGAACTTACATACCTTGATTGAAGAAGCCTGATTTTGTGAAGTGGAAGAAGAAGAAGGCTGATTTTGTAAAGAAGATGCTGATGATGGTGATGACGATGCCTGGCGTTGCTTCTGTCTGTTTAATTATAAGAAATTTATTATAGTTAATAATGTTATAAAAAATTTACTAACTCTCAAACCAATAATTCTGATTATTAAAAAAATAATATTGCAAGACAACTTTGAAATTAAGTTAAACTGCAATATTATTTAAATACCTTTTCCAAAAATCTTCGATATCTTCTTTGCGTTGATTGTCGTGAGAGCTTAATTTCTAAATATTAACAAATAAAAAATTATATATAAATACTTTTTTAAATAGTATACTACTATTAACTAATTTAGACTTTAAATAAAAACTGCATTTTAACAGCACTTTTGCAAAAACTTACTAGTTTTGCTTTTGACGCCTTATTCTTTTTCGTAGGGATATTTTGTATGATATAATTGAGGTATTCCTTAAATCTTTTACGTTCAACCTTTCTGCTCTGCAAAATATTTTGTTTATCGCAATATTCCAAGTAACCAAGTAACATCCATTTATTATTTAAATTAAAATATTGGAAATTGCAACTACAAATAAGAAAAGGTTTACAAGTTATGCCGAGTTAAAGGTTTAAAGTTTTGGTAAAAACATTACTTACTCGTTTTCTTTATTCATTGTTGGTTTTGGAATATTGCTGACGCGTAAAAAAGATAACATAGTACTCACTGCTAAGTTGCTAAATAATTTTATACACTTACAAAAACAAAGCAAAAAAAAAATAATAAATTATTTCGTTTTCAGATTTTCGTATAGCAGCATGATTTAAAAAAGTAGGTATAATAAAAATTTTTTGGCGAAAATTTATTTAAACGTTCGCACGAAATTATTACCAAAAACTTGAAAGTGCTAAAACCCAAAAGAGTAAAACGTCGAAAATAATTATTTTTTTTAAAAAAAAGGAATTTATTCTTTAATTGCGGTCACCCTGATCAATGATGTAATTGGTTTCATCCAATGGGAAGTGGTGGGAAAATTATTGTATTTTTAAATTTTGTTTAAAGCATTTTAATCAAAATACCCGATCACTATATCAAGATCACGGGGTATTTTTATTACTAACATGTACTAGCGGAATGATCTGGTATTGTAAAATAATTTTTTTATATGTGAGGGTTTAAGTGCCTCAGTGGCAATCGAGTGAAATCGACATGATCAAGTACATTGTGAAGTAAACAAGTTTTGTTTCGAAATACTGTTAGTAAAGGTGCAAATAAATAATAAAGACAATAAGAAGCGATACAAAATACATTCCCCGAAATTTGAACGCGAAACAATTAGTATTGTTGGAGATAAGGATCGTGGTTCAAGTGAAATTACATCATTAAAACCTTGTTTTATTACACATGTCCACGTGAAGGAAATTTAACTCGCAATTATCCAGATCAAATGAAAATTGAAAAGTGAACGTTAACAAAAGAAAAATTAGAAGAAAATGAAGAATAATACATATCTGGATGATGAAAATATCGGTATATAAGGTGTTTTAAACTTGTGCAAACAAAGAGTAAAGGTATTAGGGGATTGGAGAAAGTGAATCATCCAGGGCGGCCATAAAAAGTGCTGGTGACGTCGATCATGGCGCAGCAGCGGTAAGATGTAGATCATCGGTATTTCTAGTACGTACGTACGTACTAGAAATACCGATGATCTACATCTTACCGCTGCTGCGCCATGATCGACGTCACCAGCACTTTTTATGGCCGCCCTGGATGATTCGGAGAAAGTCAATCATGATCATAATAGAAATTTTAGAGTAAATGAAACAGGAATAATAGGGAATATAGACATTAAATCTAGTGGTCAGATAACATGAATATAGAAGAAAAACCGAAATTTGAAAGCAAATATAAAGGTTGATATTGTTCTGAAAGTGTAAATGGATATAAAATAGATATCAAGAAGAATTCCATTGATATGTGTTGAATTAACTAATAAATGTATGATAAATAAAAGAAAGATGATCGAAGTTAATTTTCAGTAATCAAATCAGATCGAAGAATAAAAAGGATAAATATTTCTAATTCGAATGTTGATGATACTAAAACCATTGCTGACTGTTATCGATATGTAACCTGTGATGAAAAGATAGAAATAAGGTATTCAATCGTTATAATAGGTATAAAACATTCGAATGGAATTCGAAGTATCATTTGTGGAAATGAGCCAGATAGTCATGAAATGAAGAGGTATAAGGGGTTCAGTTGTCATCAAATATTTGTAGTGATGGATTATGCCAATGGACTGAAAGATTTTAGAAACTATTGTCATGATAATAGAATTAACTCGTAAAAGATGAATGTGTTAATGGCTAAGTAAGATTAACATGTAATCAGAAATTAAAAAGAAACTATTATACCCTAGTATCAGAGAAAGTCTCCGAACAAATTGGGTAAAATTCACCACCCAAATTTTTTTCAGATCACATAATATGATCGTCCAAAGTGAAGCGAAGCGGAGATTTTTACTGTATTCATTTGCGGTGTTACCTACCGCTTATATAACTAAGCATAGTAATTTATTTTTTCAAATTCCTATTAACAATTAAAAAATGCCTTACCAACTTATTTAAGCAAAAAAATTTTAATGTTGTAACGTAAAATCGAAAAAAATAGGGATGTAGCTCAAAATTTTACAAAATTTTGGGTTAGACTTTTTTTAAAACGCCCTACCCTCCCGTTAACTGCCCCTGGAAATTAAACAAGTCAATCACAACACAACATAGACTTCATTAACATTTGATTAAGGTTGATCAATGAGATTTGATCGAATATCTAAATATTCCCCTCCTAGTGCCTGAGCCAAAAATATTGACGTTACCCTAATAATCAACTTTTAACGACCTTATGTACAAATCCCTTCATTCGCATTAATTTAGTCCACGGGATAAAGAAACATTTATTAGTAAGAATTAAAACCAAAAACAAGTTCACAAACTAATCATAAATATTTAATTGCCATTACGTACAAATCTTTTCATTCACATTAATTTAGTCTGCGAGAATAAATAACATTTATTAATGGATAGAATTAAAAACGGCAAAAAAGTTCACAAATCAAGATCATATATACTTATTTACCAATAAGTACAAATCCTTTCATTCGCATTAATTTAGTCTGCAAAAGTAAAGAACATTTATTAATGAATAGAATTAACATCGTAAAACAAGTAGGTCATTAACACTTAATTACCATTACATGCAAACCCTTTCATCCCATTAATTTGGGTTTAACTTACTAATACTGTACCCTAGTAACGAAGAATTATCTTAATTCATCAAAGATTGCAAGTTTTGGGTTGTAAATAAATAAGACAAGAATGCCGGCATATATGAAACTAAATGCCTTATCGATCGATCACACATATAAATATGCTAATAAATCTAGTAAGATAATTTTAAAACAGTTTTTCATTATTATTAATAACAGAAATTAACAGAAATCAAACACGTTGTGAATTAATTTATTAATGATCATCAATTTTTACAATACACTTGTGGAATTGTAGAAATTACGTCAAAATATTGTCAATTCTACTGTATTGTGATCTGTAGATCTTTTGTAGAATTATTTATACGCACATAGAATTAATTTTTCTGCATCACTACCCATCCCTATTTATGGCGTTTATTGAACAACGACCTATTTTATATGTCAATTTAAAAATTTTTCCAAGACCTCCACCTTCTACTGATTACGATAAAGTGTCAAAAAATTCTTGTACGTTAATAAATAATTTATCTAAAATTTTTATGAGGTTTGATTAAAAAATTTAACATAGTTTTTATAATTTCTAACATGCAACCACTTTTTTGTAGGCTCTTTACGAACCCTGTTTAGTAAATGGAGAAACCCATTTACTCGTTATTTTAAACTTAACCTCCTGACGAGTGGTCACCCGAGGGTTATGGTGCTTGAATACTTGGGTGTACCACAATCAAAAGAGATGTAGCGCATTTTATGAGGCTATAGGTGCCATAGATCGTAACCATCACATTCCTGCGGAACTTAAGAGTGCCGCCCAAGAGCTCTTAAACAATAAAGCAAGTTATTGTATTAAAATTTTACTCCGGGATCCAGACTTCACATGGTATTTTAAAGAGGAATCGAAAAAGATCAAGAGAAGTCATATTCTCGAAGATCTATGTGAACGGACTTTTCCTGAATTTTACAGGGTGAGCGAAAAGGCGAAAACTGTAATAAGGGTGATGTTACAAATGATGATACAGTCAGTATTAGTGAAGACGTTAACAATGATGCTACAAACAGCCTACCTGATTATATAGATTTTTCAGATCTAAAGATCGATCCAAAAATTCATAAGGCAAGTCTATGGGTACATGATTAAAAATGCTCTAATGTACTCCATACTTGTGACCTATGATCACTTCTGGTAAAACTCATCCTTCAGGCTGAAGAATTGCGATAAACATTGGTATAATATATTAGATACCGAATTTTTTACTTTTAAGAAAGGGTTTTTACATCATTAACACAACCCTCTCAAATCATTACGAAGTTGTTTTTATGTAGAATTATATAAAATTATAAGTTGTTAGGATAAAAATGAATGTTATGCTTAGAGTTAGGATTAATGTTGGTATTAGGGTAAAATTACGAGAGGAACATTTTTTATTAGTTGAGATAATGATTAAATTTTTTTTTTAAACTTTATATTAAAATTTATAATATACGAAGGTTATATAATTATATATGCAAAACTATTAGTATATAAATTTAAATAAAATTTTTATCTAAATTTTACGATCTATAAAAGTTATGTAATTATAATATATAAAATTTATTAATATATAAAATTTATTAATATATATAAATTTATGTAAAAAATTTATTTGGATGTTATAGCATATAAAAGTTAATGTTAATTATACAGGTTTTTGGCCACCTAATCTGGTAATCCAAATCACATGATTTAGTGCCATTCGACCCGTCTTATTAAAATGAGTCAAATGATACCAACATCACATAATTTGGATTACTAGACCACGAGATAATACTGTCTGAATTTGATTGCTATTAAAATTTGATTGAAAAATTGATTGCTATGTGAATTTGGTAATTTATCTAAAATAGGTGGCCGAAACCTGTAAAAATTATAATATTTTTTAGAGTCTATTTAAAATTATTTCTAGGAACTAAGAACTTTTGATACACTCGGTACCGTCTAGCACTGTATACAGTACCTAGTGTGACACATAGTAAAAAATTAAAAACCATATGCATAACTTAATTGTTTACATCACATGGTATATATAAATAATAGTTTAAAAATTGATCTACATTATTTGTCACAGCGTGTACTGTATACAGTGCTAAATGGTATATGTTTAACTCAAAATAAAATGAAGGAAAAAACAGCTATTTACAAGAATGTAATAATGGGAAAATAACATGCCAAAAAAATTCAGTTTAATCTCTGTCATGCAGCACACAATTTTGTTGTTTGTCTCTGCAAATTTATTTTTTAATATGTCTAAAATATTGATATATCCCAAGGACGATGCTTAGTTTTACATTATTTATACAGTTTAACATAAGAATTATTATTATAAACTACACCAGTGGTTATAAATAACCACTCCTATTAGAATTAGGAT